AACCCCTAGTGGCCCATTTTCTATAGCTTATACGCCCCCGTCCTTTGGAGATTGTACAAAACTATGAAGATAATACATCTAATGCACATTTGATTTGGATAAAGCATTTGTCATTGACCATGAGATTGGTTGGGGAAAACGACGAATCAAAGAATCAATTTAATCCACCATTAACAAGCCAATAAATCGTCATGATAACATTAATGCATCATGAGTCCCTCAACTGCATGAAGGATATACAATAATAAAAAGAACCATAAAAATGAAAGGAAGAACACTTCAAACGTCTTGGCGTTCGACTATCATATGTTAAATATTAAAAAGAAATTCAAAAAAATCTATACATTTCTATACAACGCCTGAAGAAGACAACTTCAATTGTCGAAACATCACATCATTATCTTATTGAAATCATCAATACTTATATATTATAATAAATTCAAAATCGATTGTTTTTTATTTAATTTTAATTGTTGAATAAACATATACAAAACATAAATAAATACGTATAAGGAAGGATAAAAACATGCAATAAACTAAAGGGAAAATTTTCAATAAAAAAACAACAACGTATGCTTTGATGATATTGTCATGATTATTTTGCACATATCGTCATGCACATTTTTTTCTGTATTAGTATTATATACCTGTACGAAGAACGAACGAGAGAACAAACAAAACAATAGTGGAATTTCCAATCAAAAAAGAATAAGGTATATATTGAAATTATTCTCATCATTTTTTGCGATACGGTTGAATGCGTGAGGTAATACATATTTTTCAACGTACATATAAGTAATATTATGCTTTAGTTTGAAGCATATAACAACGTCGACACATTACAATAATATTATCGTCCTGAACTGACAAGATTCTCTACGAATCCAACGAGCAAATGTATGTATCTGCGAAACTGTAATTTCTTTAGAAGATCCCCTCTAGTAATAAGTATACAGGGGATTTTTCTGTCCTCCAGTAGTGACAATGCATAGTATTATTTTCGTACCATAGTAGTTAACTTCCTTTTAGTTAATTTGAATTTAGACGAATGAAGCTTTCGGATTCAAATAGGAATATGTAGCTAGGGAAAGGGAGCCTCAGAATTATTCATCTATATTTAAATGTATATAAGCCCCTTTATTTAGATGGGGGACTGGACGGTAGAAGGGTTTTGAGATTTATATTTATTTATATACATAAGACATTGAAGAACCAAAATTAAAGCAACTAATCATATATATGTATATGATTACGTAGAGGGTGACCAGCTGATCCAGAATATTTATGTTTTTTTTTGTGAAATTAGTTGTTAGGGTAGAAATTTCGGCTTTTGCTGATGACCTACTTGTTATGAAAAAAAGTCAAATAATGATAACTGGAATATTGTCAGTTGTTTTTCTTTTCTTTGAATTTCAAAACTGCTTGGTTCAGATTTAATGTAAAAAACTGAATCTATGAAAATCATTTAATAACAGTTTTTCTTTATTCCTATGTTCAGGAAGTCAAAGTATATCATTATTCTCATAAAAAAAACAGGTAAAGTTCATCGAATGTGATGAAAGATGATGAAATTTTATGTTAGTAAAAATATTTTTAGAATAATCAAAACAGGATTTGCGTGATCTGGTAACCTCTTGTGGATACAAGGAAGCCATTAAGAACTGTATGAAAAGATTAACTCTCGATGCTACTAATTCGCATAAAATATTTAAAAAAAAAGCTTTTCTCGTTCCATATCGAAAACTTTGTCACGACTTGTCACAAGGACCAAAAGACCATATTGTAATAGAGAACCTAAATCGTTTTGGAGTTCGAAATTCATATTGTAAAACTCGGAGATCAATATTCGAGTGAATATCTTTAAAGAAGAACCTGTAAATGAAAAATTTCAATAGTGGAATCAGAAAACTCTGGAAGAATACAAAAGATTCATGTTTTTGCATTTCATCTTCCTTTGTCAGTATATTTGACACAGTGAGCCTTATAAGAGTGACACAAAAATTTTCAACATAGCTGCTATTTTCTGAAAGATGATTCACTTTTTTCGGTAGATAGTCTTGTATTCATTATCTACAAGTAACAATTCTTTATGTCGTTGGTTTTATATCGTCTATCCACAATTGTCCTATCCATTTAATATTCAGAAATCTTCATTTGAGTATGACAGACGTAGAAAAGCCATATTCGATTTTTGAAAGTCGACATATTAGTATTGGACTAAATTAATCTTGAAATCAGATACCTGAAAAGATGCGACATCCAATCGATAATGGTGTAGATTAATTTTCAATGGATCATAGATTTCTCTAATTGTAGTAAGTGTCATTTGAAGTATTGAGGTGCACAAGCGACAGATAAATGTAAGTTTGAAGCTAAAGCACCAAATATCAATAAAAGAATTTTAAAAAATACTTTACTCAATCTCATGAAATAATCGAACATAAAATCAGATGAAGCATTATAAAGAACAGAAACTGAAATAGGACTTGAAAACTATGAATTCTAAAGTACAGAGAAAGAAAGACTACAGGATTCTCAAACCTACTTCTCAATCTGACAACATATCAGCACAAAGATACACGTGGATAGAAAATACAAGGAAAGGCGAATTTAAAAATGGAGATTGAACGAGACTATTGAAACCAATCTGTTATAGATACGAACATCGATATTTTCGTTTTAGTTACCGTTTCTTACATACTAGAATTTATAATCTAGGAAATTTGGGAGACTATTTTGCAGAAACCTATTCAGAATATTTCTTCACATGGAACATGTTATTATTATCGTAGGAGAAATTGTTTTTTTTTTGAGTCAGAACAGAGGCAATGCCTCACGATAGAGAGAAAGATATGGTCTTTTTCAGTTATATCTCTCATTTGTGCTTACATTTCTGTTTTCACCAAAGATAGAAGATAGCGTAGTATTTTTTTTCTTTTTTGTAATCTTTGGTGCATTGAACAGTTTATTGTTACAACAAGAAATATCTAAAAGGATATTCTTGTGTGTATCTCTTCACTTTTCCTTTCGTATGCGTTGCTGAACAATAATTCAGAATGCTCATCATCAGCAGATCAAATTCTGATGAGATGTTCATTCTTCTTTACTAGTTCTTCTCTGACAAAAAATAGTTCTTGTTGATACACAACAAAAACAAAAATTCACCAATCATTTATTTCTTTTTTTTATATCTTTCTCTTGTTTTAGATACCAAAAGATATATTCGATATCTTGAATATATTCAAACATTCATCAACGAAAAGATAATTCAAAAACATGAGAGGATATATTGAATTGCAAGTTCGACGCGAAAATGCTCGTTTAGTGATCCCGGATTCTCAAGATTCAAAAACAGTTGGTCCTGTCATCGGTTATGCTCAAGAACCACTTCTCCCGCTTGCCGATGCATGCAGACCGTTGGTTCCTATTATCTTTAATATACTGGTGTATGTCTCGAATGCTCTGGAACACACTCCAGATAATCCATCAGATGGTCTGACAAGTGATGAATCAGCTTCGATTTATCTCTACACAATGGAGTGGAGTGGTGGACATCGAAGTCTCTATTCCATTCTCAATGAAACACTCCGAACAGCTGATCGTAAACAATTAAAACCGTGGTTCAAGTATTTAAAACTATTACTGACTGCCTTGGTCAAAACAAAGTACGCACCTCAACAGGTTGTTTGGCGTGGAATACGAAAAGATCTTAGCCACGAATTTCCCCGAGGAACTCAGGTGATCTGGTGGGGTTTCTCATCTTGCACAACAACACTTCCTGTGTTAGAGAATGATCTCTACTTGGGTCAGGAAGGGACTAGAACACTCTTCTCCATCGAAGCTTTCAACGCTAGGAATATACGAGATCATGCATATTTTGTCAACGAGGACGAAATGTTATTGCTGCCAGGGACATACATGGAAGTACAATCACAATTCAATCCGGCACCTGATCTCCACATTATTCATTTGAAACAGATGGTACCAGACAATATGCTACTTGAACCTCCATTTGAAGGTATATTGGAAAGCTAAAAGATAAGAAGTCGTAGCATGGCTGTTGTAAAAATTATGATCTGATAGTATTAATAGTTTTAAAATTTTAGAGATTTCGGCTTCCTTCAAGATTCATTATTAACTTTGTAATACAGCGAGTAGCTATTTGTCAAACTCATAGACGACTTACATGTCATCTCTGTGTTCATATCAAAGACTTTCTATTATATCATTATCAAATACTCAGACTCCATGCCAATTGTGCGAGTGCTTTTTCGTTTAGAAATACTATCTTAAACTATGAATCATTCTGACAAGGCATTCTCTACATTTCTTTGACATAGTATGTTCTTGTTCATCGCGCATATCTCGCATGAGATATTTTTGTCTGCCTCTCAATTACATGCTGTCCTGCAGCTCGATGCATGTAAGTGGCCTATGAATATAAGTTATGTTTATGAAATATGTATGGATTTCTCTTGGAAATTCGAGAAACATAAGATTCATACGTCGAACTGATTTTTCGATTAACTAATAAATAGCTTCAATAGGATAAATCAGATTAACCTCTAACCTGCAACATGTAGCTGGAGAGAACCACTGAACCTTTTATTATTTTATTATGAATTACGGTTAATGTCTTATCCGTCTGTATGAACAGATGAAATAATAATCACCATAAAGGAAAAATACCGAAAAATGAAATACATGCAGAAAATCCAAACAGTCACCTACTCAAAAATTTATTATCCTCACACTGTTTTGACAAAATGTGCTTTTTGTCTCTGATGATAGAGTGGAGTTCCAACTGCTTATCCCTGTATGAAAAAAATTAGTAACAGTGCTGAGAAGTAGCATTATCTATTCAAAACTTTCTGCTTTCTCAAAAGCTTCACTACATCCTCTCGAATGTTCTTACAAAGAAGAATCCTGACGAATTTACGCAAGTATAGTTAACTTTTGGTAGGGTACATCCATGGACTATCAGTCATAAAAACGCAAAACGTATCCGAAAGTTTTTTGACAGATCCTATTCTGCGGAAACTTTTTCACTAATCATTTCATTGAAAATATCTCTCACGTTCATTGACAAATAGAGATACTGGATTAAATGACTTCTAGCTTGTGAAGTTCCGAAAATATTTGTTGCTCTTCAGCGGTTCGAACTTAGCACTGTCATTCGTCGATAAAAATAAAGCGTTATTTTTGTTAAAATGATCAGCGAAAAGTGCTTGACAAAATATGATCTCTCAAAAGACTTCAGATATCTTCGTTGTATGGTGGTAAACTACTGATGTAAGTATATGAAAAAGAGTCAAATTCTGCATTGAAGCTTGTAGTACTAGATTTCAAATGTGTCAATAATCCGTTGATTTATGAATAAAATCTTGGAACTTTTGTGAATCGTTTGGAAACATAAGCTAATTAGATAACAATACGGAGGAGACACACAATATTTTTGCTAAGTAACTTTCCGCACACCCTATAGGTTGTACGTGAATATTCGACGAATCCTAACGAAAGCTGTTCGAGGTCATATCGTAGTATTAGTCAGCTGGCATCCTTTATCTTATATTATGTCTAATTCTTCTGTTACTAACGATGGAGGTGTTTGTGTTGTCAATTCAGGAGATTAGACATATTCAGATCAAATTTAATCTCTGATGGCTAAATTTACAAATTTTGAAATATAGACTGCTGCTGGTTTGCATGGACCGAGATATTCAAGTTTTAAGGTATGTACAGTACATTTCGAATGGTCAGAATCCAAAATTTCACTGGGATTTTCTCTTCTGTTTTCTTGATGAATCGGATAGAGCTCTGCGAGTTACATTAAAAATAAAGCTTCATATTTTACAAGCAGATGTTAAAAAATATACAAAGGCAAGAATTTAGGGTCTATTTCCCATTATATTTGGAAATCATGGTAACTTGAACTTTTTGTCTAAGATTTTTTAGAACTCTTTTAAAAATATGAAACATATTCTTCTATTGTAACTTGATCAGCTCTATCCGATCACCAAGAAAACCGAAGAAAAAATTCTCGTGAAATTTTGGATTGTGGCCATCCTACATACGCCGTCTTTATCTTAAAATTTGAATATCTCGATCAGCGCACACTAACAGCACCCAGGTGAATGAATCCGATACCGGATCCAATCGGATCTGATCGGATCCGACTATCCGACAAAATCCTATGGGATTCCGGGAAACGGATCGACTAACGGATCTGACGGGCGAAACCTATTTTCTTAATTACGTGCTAATTAGCATTTTAACCCAATACTAGAGACCAGTCATATTTATACGATGAATTACTATCGGAATCCGATAGTAGGATCCTATAATGTCTAGACACTAAGGTTCCGTTAGTAGGATCGTCTCCCGGATTCCTATAGGATTTCGTCGGATTTATAGAAATTCCAATAAAATCCGATCGAATCCGACAGGAATCCGATCGGATCCGATTGTTGGAATGATTCTCCTGGGCAGCCTATATTGTAAATTTTTAAGTTTGGCGATCGAACCTTCAATTCGATTCGAATATGTCTGATCTGCTTCACTGACAACACAAACAACTCCAATGTAAGACATATTGAATAATCTAACTGATTTGTTTTGAATTGAAATATTTTTATCTATAGGTGCGTGCCTTTATCCAAAAACAACTGAGTAAGTCTTGACGCATCTTCATCTAATGTTATTTTTGACGTAACGTTTCATTAGACCACCGAGGCGTCGTTGGTATAACAGGAAGATATTATTCATTCCAGTCAGCTTATTGGCAATGATGTTAATTATAGCAGTTGTTCTCGGTTCTTTTTTAGGATCAAGATCTACTAACAATGCACGAGGTATGCATTTTGATTTTCTTTTCAAATCGAAGACAAAACAAAGATGAATAACATTTAAATCTCAAAGTCCTGTTTGTTTCTTGTTGATTGAATCATATCTATACAATCTGTTATCTTTCCACTTTGTCGTATGATCTGATAGAGTTTTCAATTATTTGTCGAGCACATCCCAATTACTTTTGATTCTATCAAAACATCACCCACGGTTTGAACTGCAAACAGGGAATGGTACCGAATCCTAATTCGCAAAAATAGTATGCGTTTATTCATAGATGATATACTAGCATTTCTTGCGCCAAGTGTGCACACTAAATTTAAATACGTCTTGTTTATGTGTCGTACTTAGAATGTCTTTTATACGCATTTGTCGCGTTCTGCCTGCTGACTATTCGTTCACAGTTTTGTTATACGCACATAACGATATATAAACAACGCGGCTGGACCTACGAAAGATAAATTTTCAAAATATTGTTTTTTTCTAAATTATTTCTCGATAATTTTTTTTGTCGAGAAAATGCTAATCTCGATCGATGATCGAGAGAGGACTATCCCGAAGTGGTCTGACGCAAATCGGACTAACTCGAGATCGGACAGATTCCAGGATCTGATCCGCTTGAGTTTTCGGAATAGAAATAATAAAATGGAATCAAATTGAAAAAAAGCTGTTAGCGCAATCCCTAGGTAATTAAAATGTGAAACACGATGCACCTATTCTTACTAATTCCCTAAACACCGCCTTTATTTTTACGCATACTGGGTATATTCCACCAGCATTGCTAAATTTATACATTAGAATTTCATAAACGAAATACTCCATCAATACTCTGATTAGACGTCAGTTATACAGAACATTTGATAGTCTGTTGAAAGCAGCTATCAGTCGCTGTGAAGACCCATGAAGGGTGCCTATCACGGTCTGTGATGGGCCCAGGCCGTGTCTCTCAGGGCCTGTGATGTATCCACGCCCTGCCTGTCACAGTCTGTGACGGGTCACGTGGCTGTCTGCCACGGTCTGTGGGTAGGAGGGAGGGGGGATGCAAATTTCTATCCTATATGCTTCAACACTCCTTTCAGATCATGTTTCACAAAATCGAAATATGCTTTTTCAAACGAACCAATAGAAACTGTGTCACATGTGTCGTGGTCTTGCTGGAGAAAATGTGTCGCAAATCACAACACATGCGACACATTTTAACTTAGTGTGTATTGGATATAGGTGTGGGTGTGGGTATGAGTCTGAATCTGTTCTTCACACTCACACCCACATCCACACCTGCACTCACGTTGCAATTCGTAAACAACGTAAGTTTTTGATCAGAAAACCTTGTTGAATGTAATCGAGATGCTGAAATATGTAGTTACTAGTAATGTAAGAAGAATGGTCATAGATTTGACCTCAGCTAATACGAACTTTAGTCAAAGTCAAAGCGAAGTTTTACAGAGGTTTCATTGCAATTTATATTGTTAACTGAATGTTTGTTGCAGATGTAAAATGGACGAATTGAGAAGGGGATGACGATGAGAACAAGATGTTCACTGGCCCCATATTTCAGGGCCGTTGATTTTACGCTATCATTTTCTGTTTATTTTTGATTTCTGTGTATAAATGCGCTAGCACCTCGATTAATTCATGTTATGATGTACATTCGATCGTAGATTCAAGTTCAAAGAAAAAAGCTCATCGTATTCATAGTAATAATTACGTCGAGCGAACTCTATGACTTGCAATTAATTAGGAAGAAAAAGCGAAACACTAGTTTAGAGTGCTCTACATATTGCAGCACATCAAACAGGAACATTGAAGCGTAATATTTAGTAAGCTTTATAAATTGAAGATAGTGAAATGTAGAACTGAAGGTATCAGCTTTATAAAAATTGGTATCAGAAAATTTTTCAGAACTTCAAACGACAATTTGGAGTTTTCATTTGAATATTTGGAAATAGTTCACCTCATGAAATAAGTTCTCTTAAACTTAATATAAATCTTTTCAAATATTAAACAACTAAATTTTGAGACTTATAATTATTACCTATTCTAGCAGTTTAAATTAGAAAACCAATTGAAAATTAATCTAATGGTTCTTAAATTTCGATTTTCTGCTCGCAAATGAGAAGACACTTTTTGGAATGTAACACAAGAATTACGCACAAAGACCCCAAGCTCTTGCTGTCTTACTACTCACGAAGATTTACTAGTATTCACGATTCATGAGCAGCTCAGTGACGATAGAAAAGGAAAGAGTAAAACACACATTCGAACACAAACATAGTGTATTATAGAACCACAGTACATGTGATGACATTTTCATATTCTACATCTGCATAATGAATACTATTGAAATTATTCTTTTATTTATGTTCTTGCAGCGAATATGTGTGATGGTTTCGTACGTCATGAGAATTGGGACATATATGGAAATGATATATCTCTTGCAGGTGGAGTTATCGATTATGCTAGCTGCTGCTTAATATGTCAAGCAAATAAAGAATGTACTGCTTTTGTGTATTCGCCATCAAGCAAAGAATGTTGGCCGAAAAAGAGTGTGGAAAGTGGTGGAATCTTCAATGACAAAAAAATATCTGGATATAAGGGTAAGTGTGCCAACTCTTTGTTAGTAAGTGCCGTGCCATCGACAAGTGGAACTCAATAAATAAGGCTACTCTCTCGAAATGTACTGAATGATTTGAAAAACATTTGAAAGAAAACTAAACTCTCGACAATTTTCTTGTCATACATTTTTTGACGAGAAGTTTGCAAAAGGAACATCCGAAAATCTTTCGTTATTGATGCAACATATTCATGTCACTGAAAGTGAGAATCTTAAAAATTAGTTTCAGTCTGTTTGTCAATCTTGAGCTTTTTCAATCAGAACCGCTTATTCATAAGATATAATTAACAGGAGGAACTTTCAGTGACGGGTTAGCGGAACGAAAAGACATTTTACTTGTTAGATGAATATTTTTTCTCCTCCTTTCTTGCAACAGACTCTCAATTTCATGAAAGATGAAATATGCTGCTGTTTCTTATTGCTGCACAATAAAGCTGAATAATCGAGATAGCACGAGGAAAATGAGAGAGTAGAAAAACAAAAGAACACACTAGAAAATGAAAACGCTTTGGATGAACTTGCATCCGCGCCGTTGCATCTAGAAAGCGCACCTCCACGCAGTTGTATCACAGAGTAAGAGGAGCTTTAATTCCATTTTGCTTTAAGTTTTTCTAATATAATGCAAGAGTTAGGTACAAAGGCAGTAAACTATCGTTTTCTTGTCACACATGAAGATTTGCTAGCATTACAGAGCAGTTCAGCGACGAGAAAATAGGAAAGGACAAAAAATTCACTCGAGCAAAAACACACTGAATGTGGTCACTTTCCGAACTCTTTTATCTGTCTTATGGTTGCTATTGAAATAATCCTTTTATTTATGTTCCGATAGTAAACGTCTGTAATGATTTCGTACGTAAAGACAGGTGGGACATACCTGGTAATGACATATTATCTTCTTCTATTCAACAACCTGATTATGCTAGCTGTTGCTCAACATGTCAAGCAATTCATGGATGTTTTGCTTTTACATATTCACCATCAAGTCAGCAATGTTGGCCGAAAACAAGTATGAGCAGTGGTAAAAGCTTAACTGACGATGCTATCACTGGATATAATCGTGAGTGTTTCAGCTTTCTGTTAGGAAGTCCCGTGTATTCGGCAGAGAACCTCAATAAACGAGACTAGCTCTTCGAAGTTTACCTAATGATTAAAAAAATATTTGAGAGAAGTTTAAACTCTGGACATCTTTCTTGTAATACTGTTCTTGAGGAAAATTCAGCATATGCAGTGTCGTAAATTCTTCCCAACTGAAATTGAGAGTGAAAGATCAATGCCTGTCAGTTTGTCAATTTTGCACGTTTTTACTCGAGCTCTATTGCTTGTTCGATACAATCAGCACGTGAGAATTTTATTGACAGGTTAGTGGAACGAATAGCCACTTTACATGTTGTTTGATGGGGTTTTATTCTTCTTTCTTGTAGAAACGTCATCCAAGAAAACAAATTAGACGTATCTTGCTCTTTCTTGAAACAAACTTTCAGTGACGTGAAACATGAAATCTTATCCTTTCTGTTCTTATGGAATAAACTTGAACGGGAAAGGAACAACGAAAAAAATGAGAGAGTAAAAAAAAGAAAAGAACAGAATGGAAAGTGAAAACGCTCTTGATGAGACAGAGTTCGCACTCTTCCATCCAGTAAGGACAGCTTCACATAGCTGTATCACTGCGTAACTAGATCTGTACGACCATTTGCTTCAAGTTTCCAGAATCACTACTTCCGATTTGTAGATATTGAAAAAATTATGTTTAAATAAGATGAGTATGTTTTAAATTGTAAGTTCATTTGCACTTGACGATTTTGTTAATTTTCTCTACGATAGTCTAATATGATATTGAAATCTTAAATATTTAATGAAGGTAACCCCATTTGAGTAATAAGTGCTCGTCAAAACTTCAAATAACAACTTTCTTTATAGTAAGAGAAAATGCTGCATTTTGTATACTGCATACTCTTTGCAACTGTGAAGTGGACAAATCAAAAGAGAGAGAGAGATGACAGTGAAGTCAAGATGTTTATTAACTCCATTTTTCGGGACCGTCACTTTTACAGTATCATTTTCTGTTCCATGTGACGATGTATATTCGCTGATAGGCTCAAGTTTAAAGGAAAAAGTTCATCACATTCATAATAAAAATTACGTCTAGCGAACTATATTACTTGCAATTAATTAAGAAGAGAAAGAAAAGCATTAGTTTAATCCGCTCTACATATTGCAACACATGGGACAGTAATCATGAAGCCTAATATTTAGAAAGCTCTATCAATCGTGGATAGTGGAAAGTAGAACTGAAGGTATAAGCTTTATGAAAATTAATATCAGAAAATTTTTCCAAAGATTCAACAAAATGTGAAACTTTCATTTAAATATTTCGAAATAGTTTACCTCATAAAATAAGTTCTCTTGAATTCAATCTGAATGTTTTCAAACTTTGATCAGCATAGCTTTGAAATTTAAAATTGTTGCCTATCCTAGTGATTCAAATTAGAAAACCAATTGAAACTGAATCTATTAGTTGTTGAATTTCGACTTTATGCTAGCAAATGAGAAGACACGTTTGGAAATGCAACCTACAGATTACGTGCAAAGACTCTAAACTCTCGCTTTCTTGTCACTCACGAAGATATACTATTATTTACCATTCACGAGCAGCATAATGATGACAAAATAGCAAAGAGTAAAACACATTCGAGCAAAAACACAGTGAATAGGATCACTTTTTTTCTAATCTTTCATCTGCATAATCAGTGCGATTACCATTGTTCTTTTATTTATCTTTTCACAGCGAATAAGTGTGGTGGTGTCGTACGTAAAGACGCTTGGAACATACCTGGAAATGACATACTACCTTCTCCTGTACAACTACCTGATTATGCCAGCTGTTGCTCAAGATGTAAAGCAACTCGCGAATGTGTTGCTTTTACATATTCGCCATCAAGTCAACGATGTTCACTGAAAACAAGTATCCATAACGGTGGAAACTCAACTAACGATACCATTACTGGCTACTATGGTAAGTGAATTAACTTGAATTCAGCGTTTGGCACAGGATTATGCAAGGGAAGAGGTATTGGTTGTAGAATGTCCATATGCTTGTGAGTATGGGTGTGGATATAGAGCATTGGTTTCATTAGATTTCACTGTAGCTGTGAATATGGCTACGAGTGTAGCTGTAGCTTAGGCGCGACTTCAGAGATGAATCACATTCACAATCACAACGACTCCTCCAAGCTCACATTTATACGCGTTTTTAGCTAACCTGTGAGTTTTATGCTCACTGCAGTTAAGAGTGAAAAATTTGAAGCATGTTGGGTGTAGATGAGTAGAGGTGTGGGGATGAGTATGTTTTGAACAAGACAAATACCCACACCTACACCAAGAATATTGACTCTTTTGGAACCCATTTCCGATTATCGTAAGGTCATTTATGTTGCTTTGACAATTATGAGTTCATATCTTTCTCTATATGCCGTCTTTTATGATTATCTTTTGTACTATGATACGTATAATTGTATGGTACTTTATTCTTAAAAACAACCCTTTTTATAAACAATCTTATAGATATCAAAATTCCAAACTAACGAATGTAGAATGTAATTAATAATAACATTTCTTTTCACATGAACTGCAACACATTACTGTCACTAAAAACACATAGTTAAATTCTTTATCAATGAAAAGAGTAAGTTTTAATGATAAGTTATTTTCTTTAGTAAAAATACATGCTACGTTTCAACTAGAAATAAATTTTTTTCAGGATTATTTTAACTTTCTGTCGATCTTCTCTGATGTCGCAAATCAGTTTGAATTTTTATTTTGTTTGAAAGTTTAATGATATGTTATTCACACTCAATTCGAATATCATAACACAATTATATAACAAAAAGTAGTGAAAAAATATCTGTCGTGTTGAAGTCATTACAGATCAACTAGCAAAGAAATAACTATTTATTAATGAATGATTTTCTCATTAAAATATATAGTAAAATTCAAATGCTTATTTCAATAATAAAGATAAATACTCTTGTGATTGCGAATAACTAAAAATTTAATATATTATTGATATAGGATTTAGATCACATAAATAGATATTAGTCAATGAAGTCTGTCGTAGACATGCTTGATAATTGCTTGACGTATTACTTCAATTTGTAGTTCACGTAAAGGAAGTCACTTACATTAACAAAGTTTCAGAGATTTTCATGACTGATTTTTTTCCTGAGATTTGGATTTCATTTCAGATTTCATCACTTATATCAATATCTAATGAAGTTTAAAGTCTTTGACACATTATAAGACCCTCTCAGAAAATCGATTTTTTTAAAAATAATTTCTGGAACCTAGTGACTTTTTTAGTATTTAAGTACATAATGATATTTAAGTTCAATATGAACAATACTTTACTTTCGTTGTGACGACGATGTGTCAGCTCCGAGTTCGAAAAATCTAGAGAAGCAACTAGTAGGAAACAACTGTTTATAATGTGTTTAGGACCACACGTGAGGAACCATATACCTTACATACAGTAGATAAAAAATGTCAAAAAAATGAGAATCGCTATAAAAGGAAATTTTCGAAAAATTCATAATAGAAGGCCACCTTCAATAGAACGCCACCAAAAAAATACTGATTCAATAGATCGTAATAGAAAGCCATGCCTTTTTATTTTGGAGGAGTTTACGTTTGAAACTTGAGTTTTTCATTGTCATATCATTATCTATCAATATATGTTTTAATGACATTTGAGACATTGGTAATCTAACATCTGAGAAACAAAAGTAATGAATATTGGAAGTCTTTTAATATGGTAGAACATTGAAACTGCAAAAAAAGATCCAATAGAACAAATGAAAAGAAAACTTTATGGAGCCGATGTAAAAATCGTGAAAACTGTTTGATCAGTCATCAAAAACAAATGTAAACAGACAAGATGTGTAAAAAATTTGTTTGTGTTAAGCAACGCTTAACAAGTGTTTGGTGACTCATCAAATTGTTTCTGACATATAAATATTGAAATGTGTAATCGTCTTTTTTTATTTTCACTTTGTTTACCTTCCTAGGCCTGCTGAATCTGATGATATTTTTAATATGCCATTGCAAGAGAGAACCTATATCATCTTTTAGGTTACAAAAAGTTCCGTGTTCGAAAGCAAATTACGATTCTCGTACTGCATTCGTTTACGAATAGAACTAAAATATTCGTTTCGGATGTCATTTTCACATAGCCAACGTTCTATAGGTATCAAATACTGTAACAGAACTCTTTGTATAATTGAAACCTGAAAAAAATCCATCTTGATATGTTAACTTATTCAAATCGAGCACATCTTTTTGCAACGATACTTGTTGTCTAATGGACAAATTTGCGTTAAAATGCACTGACGATTAAAATGGAAAAATTTCTAAATTGTATAATCAGTTTTCAAAAATTTCTACTTGCTTCATTATAGCTAACGTACGTAGAATTACTCAATTTCTTTTATGAAATCTCAAGATTTATCGAGAGAAAACAGATATTCAGAATCAGAATGGAATTGTCATTTCTTAGCATATCTATCCTAATAGGTCAGACAAATCATGTGAACATTTCATTTGAAAATTAGAATGCCAGAACTTCATCTTTTTGACAAAGTTCACTAGAAAGTTATGATCTGGTTGAACATGGAGTCTGATAATCAACAAAATTTCATCACATTCATGACTTCTAAATCGAAAATACAACTATGATATTTAATTCATGAGAATGTTCATTTCTTCATTGTCATGTAACTTCTTTTAATTGTTCACGCTGATGAAATAGTTAATTTTCGTTCACTCTCTATTAGATGTTAGCGTAAGCACAGTCGTTTTTTCAACAAACACAGACTATACGTACATGAAATCGTATGAAATATTGTCATTATCGCAAACATAGTCAAATATCATATTTTATCTCATAAATATAATTTTATTGGACTTGTCTGTTAATAATTGGAATGAAAATTAATAGGCATAGTTGAACATGGCAAAAAAACAAGATCTATTCTATTCATTTCATTTCTGATTTCAATGAAGTGAAACATTTTTTTTGCCTTATTTGTCTTGTATGAAGCCTTATCGTATTTTATCTTTTCTTCTTGTTATATTGTAGGTGTGTGACATGTAAATGAGAATGGAGATCTGTTAACATCTCCCTCAAAAAACTCACTTTTCGTCAGAATAGTCGAAATTGAGAAAAATGCATAGGAAGATAGCCCGTCATCTGATCTTTCATAAACAATAAAAATTTTTACTGAGCATCCCTTTTTTCCAAAAATTTTTGAAGATTTCTGGCACCCTCTATTCGAAAAATAAGCCATTTTTTGAAAAAACAGAAAATGTTGTTCATTTTTTCTCCGTTTATGACTTCTTAATCGCGCAAACCAAATTCTTCTGTTATTACTCATACAATGTATTTAATTTTTTTGTTTTTGTTCGAAAGAGTGCGTCAAGACGCAATGCAGTACAGAGTTCTTTTTTTGATTAAGCTTTGCTTTTGCTATATATAAAAAAATTTAGAAAATTTGAGCGCCATTTTTCGAGCGATTTTTGAGTCATTGAACTTTCGACCACTTTTTTCCTTTAAAAAGTAAGAATTTAAAAAAAGGGCTCTGTACTGCACTGCATGCTAACATGCTCTTTCAAACAAAAACCATGATATTGGGCCGAAAAGTTTACCATAGCTTCTCTAAACAAGTTTCAACATATCCTGAAAATGTCATGTCATTTGAACGTTCCTGGGCTGAGATCGATTTTTGAGAGAGCCTTAAGGAGTACCAACAGTTAATAATTCCGAATGTTGACTAGTTGAAAGCTCGAACCTATATTCCGACTACATCTTATAAATTTTAAACTATTTATATAGATCAGATGACAGACAAAGCAACTCTATCACAAATTTTAGAGAAATATCGTTTTACTAGCGGATAGGTATAGATATCTACTCGTAGTAAGAGTTGCATTTTGGCTTTTACGAAAACAATCATATGTAAATAGATATTTTTATAAATTTATGTCTCCCTTTAACTAGAAGAGTTAGAGCGACGTGTCGTCTCTCATTAAAAACATTGAACATCAAACATGAAATGCCTCTATGTCATTTGTTTTTCGACTTTATTTTTGTATTGAGAAAATCGATTGTTTTAAATTTCAATGACAAAATTATATGAAACTTTTAAAAATGAATTGGTGTATTTTGCCGATTTTTTTTATCCTAGTTATATGTTAGATCAGAGATATTACAGCTTAAGAAAAGTGTTCATGAAAAATGCATTCCTGGTGAACTAAAGGCATTGGTGTATGTTCTGATGTAGTTTTTGTACTGATATCGACTATGTTATTTATTTTACTGTGATATTGAACGGTGATGATTGAAGCTACTAAATGAGACCTCTTTTATTGTTATAATAATGAAAACTGCAATTTTCTTCAATATTTTTGTAGATCGTAATCGAGCAATTCTAAGAAAAAACATTTAATATTTCCTTGTCTCACAAAGGAACTAGAGAAATTTACAAAAGTATCTATCAAGACAAGCTCACAAGTACGTTGGTGCTTTCTATGTCGGATCAGTTTTCTGTACTTCATTGGGTTTCAATTGAATTAAGTAACATTTTTTTTATGCTTGATAAAAACTGCAATCATAATCAACAAATATGATGAATATTATCCCATTAAAATGATAGGTCTTATAAAAAAATGATTCGAAATCTATGCAACAATTTATATAAATATGTTACTTTCACAGAACGTACAATAGTTCGGTGAACTTCTTAAACATATAATAATTTTTATCTCATATCTTTACATGTTACTAAACGTTTCGCTTTCTTTGAATTGAGCATGCCCTTAAAGAGAACAATCATATTCCTGAAATTATGCGTTATTTGAAGTTTAATTAAATGAATTTTGAGTTGTGTCAATCTTATTATTAATGAGTAATAAATAACTTATTATAGTTGAATTTTGTCGACATAAAAACCTATATCAAAATTAAAATTCTTTTGAGTTTTTTTCAATTTGATGTACGTTCTTTCAGATCAGTATCAGAGTAATAAGTCATTTGTTATAAGATGATAACAAACCAGTCCGACAAGACTTTAAGTAAGCGCGTATTTTTCCGAACAAATTTTAATATGTTGAATAATCATTCGTTTTTTTCTCATTCTTTTCAAAGCAAGTCGAGCGCATTGAAACTAGTCCGAATACTTGTGTTTATACGAATACACCTGATGCGAGAATTGTTATTCATAGACCGCTCTACTTTCTAAGTAGAATGGCAAACCAATTTTTTAACAATCATACAGAATAGGATGTTCTTAAAAATGTTCGACTATCCTTTTCTTTTTTTACCCATGTACGAGTTCATGTCTGTTTCTTCTATTTGTTTATTTCGTTTACATATTATTTTTCTCAGAGTTCAAAATGTGATTTTGATCTACTTGCGACGTAGGATAGTTATTGTCGTATGCTTTTCTCTCATGTTTCTAATACTTGTACGATCATAAAAATTTTCAAGATGCTTTGTTTTCTTTTATTCTTATCACATTAAGAATCGGTTGCTGATTTATTTGAGAATCGACTTTTCTTAGAGCTATTGAAATTATTCTATTTTTATCACAACATGAATAAGCATTCGAAGTTGTGACGATTATATGATCAAAAATGAGAAAAACAAAGCAATATACGATTGAATATTTTAAAGTTCAGCATTGTTATAAAAAGAAACAAATCGAATAGTGATAAAACAGACTCAGAAAGAGACGAATAAATAGATTATGCATCAAAGTTGAGACAATCATATGATTTGCTAACTTTTTTTTTGCAATGAGCGGTGAGAAAAATTTTACAACACGTTCAAGATAAAATTTCCCTATCAGAGAAGCAAATATGAATATAAATTTTATGATGGAGATATTAAAATTAAAAAAGAACGCACTTTTATGAGTTTTTTTGTTCGATTTCAAGTGCTTGAAAGTGTCATGAGTGTCTTATCTCTTTAGAATAATTTAGTATATCGACTATTTTAAGTTTGTAAAAAAAAAGTACATTTTAATAATTCAATCGTTTATTTATATGTTGAAATGTTTTTTTTTCGTATTTCCATGTTGTTTTAAATGAAGGTAAATACAATGCATCTATCGAAAACAAATTCTGACTATCTAATTAAGATCCACGCGTTCTAAATTACGTATAAAATCTACATATTCATATGTTATTCTATGGAGAGCTCCGATTCGATTAGTATCTTTCTTCTCAGCAGTTCAAAATTATAAATCATCAAATTCTATATATCTGCCTGAATTGTCCTAGGACGTGAAAAGCATCCTCAAAGATGCAAATAGAATCTTCTCAGGATGTTTTCAGTTTAGGAGTTTCACATAGTTCATTATTTCCTTACTTAAATTCTTGTATGATGTTCATATAAATGATCATGCTACAAAAGATTCTACATTCTAGCAATTCCGAATAAAATCCTCAGATCTCTATATTTTTCTATCAAAAGTTTAGATGGAATTCGCCTTTCTCGAACAAATTTCCTTACAATAATCTCTACGTGTTGTTTTTAGGATCAAAAAGATCTTGACAAGAACTAAAAGTGACATAGATATAAGAATTGTTACCAAATCCTTTTTTCCTCGTAGGAAAATAGGAAAAGATTTCTGAATTTTTATCTGCGGAACGAGCATTCTCAAAGATGAATGTCGTATTTGTAACGCTTGCTCCCACGAGAGATGGAATCTCTTCGACAACGACGATATCTTTTCTTTTTCGTTCATTGTAGTAATTCCCAATATTCCAGTCGATGCCCGATGGAAACAGAATGGAGTGACTGTTGCTGGAGGCCATGGAAAAGGCATTGCCAGCAATCAACTTGACGGGCCTGAAGGTCTCTTTATTAATGATGATCAAACGATGGTCATCGCTGACTGCTGGAATCATCGTATCATCCAATGGACGATGGGTGATACGAATGGACAAGTAGTAGCTGGTGGCAATGGCAACGAAAGTCGATTGGATCAATTGACTCGACCAACCGATGTGTTGATCGACAAAGAGACGGATAGTCTCATTATTTGTGATTCAGGGAATCACCGAGTGGTACGATGGTCTCGTCATCGTGGTACAACTCAAGGAGAAATCCTCATCGACAACATCGATTGTTTTGGGTTTGCCATGGATGATCAGAGATATCTCTATATCTCTGATACCGAAAAAGATGAAGTAAGACGATATCAAATAGGAGACAAGAATGGAACTATTGTGGCTGGTGGTAATGGCAAAGGTACTCGTCTCAATCAACTCAACATTCCGACCTACATCTTTGTCGATCAACAACAGACTGTCTACGTGTCAGACAACTGGAATTATCGTGTGATGAAATGGAATAAAGGTGCAGAAGAAGGAATTCTCGTCGCTGGGAATCAAGGCCAAGGGAATGCTCTGACACAATTGGGTCATCCTAATGGACTGTTCGTCGATACATTGGGTACCATCTATGTGGCAGAATGGGGAAATCATCGAGTGATGCGTTGGCCTAAAGGAGCGAAACAGGGCACTGTTATTGTGGGTAGAAATGGTAGAGGAGAAGGAGCAAATCAGATCGCGTTTCCCACAGCTTTGTCTTTCGATCGACATGGCAATTTCTATGTCGTCGATCGGGGAAATCATCGTGTTCAACAATTTTCAATCGAATAAACTCGTTACGGTGGATTATTTTTTTCTTTCGTTTCCTTTCAAATAAATCACGTTGAATTGATGAAAGAAATGTCTATTCTATTCGCGCGCGTGCGACCAGGAACCATCCTAGTGGAGCCGTGGCGGGCGTAGCGCTCATGCACGCACGGGCAGACTCAAATCATTCATATCTCTCCCACTCGAGAAATGTGACAATGAGTCTGGGAGGGGGATGGGGGCGATCGTGTGCCACGGACACCAAGACAGCTCCTGACCGGGCTTTTAGGGACTCCCGGAAGTCCTTCATAGAAGACGAAACCCTAATCCTCAACGGACAGAACTCACCCTCCTCAATCTGCCCCTCCCTTATTCTCATCTCAAAAAAAGGAAAAAAAATACTCACTACGCTTGATGATGTACGATGATGTTGCTGATAGTGACGGCCCGATGATATTGAGGACTAAAAAGAAAAGAAAAAAAATTCAATTAATGTTACATAATGGAAAAGAATCGTTCCACTTACCCGCACTATTATCTTTTCCTTCCCTGCTCAATGTCTAAAATTAAAAAAAAACAATGCATAGAAAAGATCATAGGAGGGCTTACCACCATCCATATGATTTTAAAAAAAACAAAAAAAAACAAAAAAATGAAAAATAATACCCACATTTTTTTTATTGTATTGCTTGATATTGAATTGAATAATTTTGCATCGTGGAAGCCAATCTAAAATATCAAAAGAAACGATTATTATTTGATTCAAAAATTGAATGGTTTCTTCGTTGGAAATCATTCATTTTTATACTCTCAAAAATTATTTTTTTCTTGGGCGAGAAAATATTCATTATTTTTTTTCTCGTCCAAAAATAATTAAAAGTCGATTTCAATTAAACTTTAATCTAGATACACACATATATTGAGATAAATTCAATCACAACTATCTCAATGTATATGAGCGAATAAAGGGTGTGGGTGTGGGTATGGGTGGAAAGAGACAATACCTACCCCCACTCCCACACCCACACTTTACCCTACACCCACACCTACACTTCACATTTCACCCCACACCCACATCTACATCCACACCCACACTTCATCCCACACCTATACCTACACCCATACCTACACCCATACCTACACCCATACCTACACCCATACC